GTCCGAACAACCCCCCCCCCCCCCCCCCCCCCCCCAGGTCTTTGGCACACCGAGCCGATCTATATCTTATCTACGAGCGGGGAAAGTGGCACCACCTGCACAGGACAGAGTCCCAGCTCGCTACGCGATGGGCAAGAAATCAGAGAGAGGAGGCTGTTTCTTCCTAAGGATATGCGTGAGAGAAGAGAAGGCAATCGGGAGTGCCTTTGCCAGCCTGGCAGCTGCCTTCCAGCAAGCCAGCCAGATGGCAGGCATTTACCGGCACCGGCACACGGGACGCACTCAGCTCCTCAGCACCGGCCGGTGTCCCAGCCGGCATCGGGCTGGGCTGGCGGGCACAGCTCAGCGGGGCGAGAGGGATGTGAAAAAACATCAAGAGAGTAATCCTGCAACTGGAGACGCTGCAGGCAGACCAAGACTCTGGAGCCTCACCAGCAGGCAAGAGAAAGGTCCTAGATGAAGCCAGACCTAAGAGGACAGCTCTTCTCTGCCTGCGGCCGCACGCCAGCCAAGCGACACACGCCAATGTCCCGTCAGAGCCAGGCTGCACCAGCAGCACAGCCACCATCCTCCCCACGCCGGCTGAGAGCTGCCGGATCCAGCCCGGCGCCGCGGGCTCGCACCAAGGAGTGAAAGCCAGGGCTGGCAGGGCCTCGGGTTTGCTGCATCAGCACAGGCACAGTGGAAGAAAAGCGGGATGGAGATGGGACGCAGTGCCAGGAATGCGGTGGGAGGCAGCATCCGTCTCCCCTGGCACTGGGGCGGCACCGCGCACAGCCCATGCACAGGACCCGTGCTGAAGTCTTCCTTGCAGAGGGAGAAAAATGCCGTGTTTGGTGTTTTACTGAGCATGCCAGTGCCCGGGGAGCGGGAGGAGCTGCGAGCCCCCACCACGGCTCATTGTGCTTCTGGGAGAGCATCTGGCCAGCTGTGCAGTGATCTGTGGCCAAAACCTCACTCCCCTGGCCACAGAGCTGGGCAAAGGCCAAAGGGTAAAGGGCAAAGCACGGGAGCAGAAACAAAGCTAGATCAGCTCATTCATGCAAATCTTTTCAAAAGCTTTTGGGTGGCTGGACAGACAGACATGGGAGAGCAGGACTTACCCTCCGTGTGTGAATCGCCATAGGGACACACGGACTGCTGGGTCCCGTGCGGTCACTTTGCAGCGGTTGAAAAGGAGGTGCGGGATCCTGCACTCACAGCAGGCTTTTAAGCAAAATGAGGGTGCAGGGACTGTTCCCAGCTAGAGACAGAGCTCAGAAAAGCAGGGGGAACAGTAAAATCTGGCTCTCCGCAGTGAAAGGCACTGCATCCAGTCATGTTCCTGCACAGTTGCGGGGCAGCTCCCGCAATCTGCTCCAAGGACAGCCCAGCCCTCCTCGATGCAGCACAGGTCCGTGTTTGCAGGGCTGGCGGGGCATCTGCAGCCGGTGGAAACCGCGGGAGGGAAGAGGGAATTGCCACAGAGCGGAGGCAGAAGGAGGGGAGGAGAGTCCATGAGGGCAGCTTGGAAAAGACGACCCAGAAGGCAAGCAGGGGAGAGTTCCCTGCCGTCATCCTACTGCGAGCAATGACCC